AGTATCTGATAACCAGGAAATGGTTTCAATTTTTTTCATTTTCTTGAAGGCATTTTAATCCCTTGGAAAATGTGATGTGACCTTTAAAAATAAAAGCCATGATGTTGAACATTTGCATGTGCTTATCTTCCATCAGCATATCTTCTTTGGTGAAGTGTCTGTTCATGTACTTCGTTCTTTTTCTACTTGAATTTGTATTTTTTACTTAGTTTTAACAGTTTTATGTATTCCCGATACCAGTTCTTTATCAGATATGTGGTTTATAAATATTTTCTCTAACTCTGTAACTTGTCTTTTTATATTTTCAACATGGTGTTTTGTCAAAAAATTTAAATTGATGAGGTCAAATTTACCAAATTTTTCTTTAATGGATTATTCTATTAACATGAAATAGAAGAACTCTTTGTCTAACTCTAGTTATAGTTTTACATTTTACATTTAAGGTCATGATCTATTTTGAGTTAATTTTGGTATAAGGTGTGAGTTTTATTGAGATTCCTTCTTTTTTTAACCTAGGGATGTTCGATTTTTCCATCATCATTTGTTCAAAGGCTATCTTCCTCCATTGAATTGCTTTTGCACCATTCTCAACCAACATATTTGTGTTAAATGCTTTTTTTGCCTTAATTGATATGATCATTTAAGATTTCTCTTCTTGCCCTATTAGTGTATCTTGGTGGTTGAGCATTGGTCCACCAACCAGTTGGTCATGGTTTAAGTCCTGGCTAGGACACAGGCCTGGGTTCCAGGCTCAATCCCCAGTAGGGGGCATGCAGGAGGCAACATCATTGATGTTTCTATCTCTCTCTCTCTCTCTCTCTCCTTTCCTCTCTCTAAAATCAAGAAAAATATATTTTAAAAAATATTTTTTTCCTTAGCTTGATAGTATAGTGAATCACATTGATTGTTTTTCAAATATTGAACCAGCCTTACATATGTGGAATAAATACCACTCAGTATATATATTTTTATATATATTTTTGGATTTAGTTTCTAGTATTTTGTTTGAGGACTGTTGTATCTAAAATAATGAGAGATATATTTCTGTAGTTTTGTTTTCTAACTTTTTTATTCTATCTCTGGTTTTGATATCCAGATAATACTGGTTTCATAAAATGATCTGGAACTATTCTTTTCTCTTCTGTTTTATAGAAGAAATTGTTTAAAATCGGTGTTAATTCATTAAAGTTTGACAGATTTCTCCAATGAAACCTCTAAGCCTGGATATTAATTTTGGAAGCTTTTAAATTACAAATCAATTTATATATTGGTTCTAGGGCTATTTAGGTTATCTGTTTCATCTTTGATGTATTTTAGTAGTATGTAGTTTTTAAGGAATAGATCTGTTTCTTCTACATTATCAAATTTATGAGTGTAAATTTGTTTGCGTTATTCCCTTTTTGTCCTTTTAATATCTGTAGGGATATTTCCATTTTACCTCTGATATTGGTGGTTTGTACCTTTCTTATATCAATTTTATTGATCTTTTCCCAAAGAAATAAGTTTGTTTTATTGACTAGTCTCTATTGTTTTTATTTTCAATTTTATTCACATCTACTCATCATTATTTCTTTTCTTTTTGCTATGTTGGGGTCATTTTTCTCTTTTTTTTCTAGTTGTTTGAGGTATGAACTTTGATTATTGATTTATTTCTTTTTTCTAATGTAAACATTTAATACTATAAATATTCTTCTCAATACTGCATTAGCTGTGTACATATTTAGTTTTGTATTTTATTTTTAAAAAGTATGTTTTTATTGATTTCAAAAAGAGGAAGGGAGAGGCAGAGAAAGAGAGAGAAACATCAATGATGAGAATCATCAAATTGGCTGCCTCCTGCACATCCCCTACTGGAGATTGATCCCACAACTCGGGCATGTGCCCTAACTGGGAATGGAAACATGTCCTCCTGGTTTATGGGTCGATTCTCAACCACTGAGCCACACTGGCTGGACTAATTATGCTGTATTTTCATTTTCATTCAATTCTATGTATAGTTAACCCTTGAACAATCTAGGTTTGAACTTCATGGGTCCACTTATATACAGATTTTTAAAAATAAAAACTGTAAATGTATTTTCTCTTCTTTATGATTTTCTTAATAACATTTTCTTTTCTCTAGCTTACTTTATTGTAAGAATACAGTATATAATACATATACAAAATATGTGTTAATTGACTATGTTATTGGTTAGGCTTCGGATCAGCAGTAGGCTATTAGTAGTTAAGTTTTGGGGAGTCAAAACTCACACATGGATGTTCCACTCGAAACTAATATAAAATAATATTAACTATCAACTATAATTGAAAAAGAACAAAGTTATTTACAGATTTTTAACTGCATGAGATGTTGGTGTCCCTAACCCCCAAAGTTGTTCAAGGGTTAACTGTACTTTCAAAATTTCTTTTATGAATTCCTCTTTGACCCATAGATTATTTAGAATTGTGTTGTTTAATTTCCAAGTGTTTGGAGATTTTTCTTGCTTGATTTCTAGTTTGATTCCATTATGGTTGGAGAACATACTCTGTATGATTTATTTTCTTTTATATTTGTTGAGTTTTGTTTTATGAATGAGGATATGGTCTTTCTTAGTGAATATTCCATATGCATCTGAAAGTTGTGTTTTATGCTGTTGGGAAAAGTGAACTATAAATGATAATTAGATATTGTTGCTTTATTGTATTTTTAGATCTGCTTTTTAAATTTTCTTTCTTTATCTTTTGTCTTCAGAAATTAAATATTGTGTGTACTATTCTATTTGGGATTTGCTCAGTTCCTTGAATAGTTTATATCTTTTGCCAAATTTGTGAAGTTTTAAACCTTTATTTTTCAGATAACATTTTCAATTCCATACTCTGTTTTCCTCTCTAATGTATCATCCTCAAATGTTATGAATGTCACCTCTTTTATTACTGTCCACCAGAGTCCTTGAGATTTATTTTCACTTTTTGTACCTATTTCCTCTCTACTGCTCTATAAATTCTGTTGATCTAGCTTCAAGCTCACTGATTCTATTCTCTGTCATCTCCCTAGTGTAAAACACTTCATGTGAGCTTTTTCAGTTATTTTTTAGTTCTATAATTTCCATTTGGTTACATTTCATAACTTTTATTTCTTTGATGAGATTCTTCATTTGTTTCCAGAGGATTTATAATTGCTGTTAGAGCATTTTTTGATGGTTGCTCTAAAATTCTTTTTAGATAATTCCAACATCTGATACCTCTCAATGTTGGCATCAGTAGATTGTCTTTTCTCTTGTGAGTTGAGATTTTCCTGGCTCTTGATATGACAGGTAACTTTCAATTCTATTACGGACATTTTGTCTGTTATGTTGGGAGAATCTGGGTCCTATTTAAATCTTTTTTTTTTTTCCTCAGGCAGTCCTTTTGTTGAGGTGTAGTGCAAGGGTTGGGTGCGTTTGCATGTTCAGCTTCCCATCATACCCTGCTCATACCATCCCAGCAAAAGTGGATCACTGACTCAGAGTGCCTCCATGCAGATGAATGGTAGATGTTTAGCTCCACCTCTGTCTGCCCTGCTGACTACTTTCCCATGTAAGAGGGGCTTTGTGTGCCATACCACTTTATTGCCTCTAAGTGGGAATATAAGCTTAGCTCCCAGCTCAGCCCCCAGGTGCTCAGAATAAGGGAAAGTGGATAACTAACTCATACTGCTTAGTTGTTGCAGGGTAGAGGCAGAATTTCAGCTTCCTACTGAGTCTTACCTACACAAGAGGAGGAGGGAAGCAGAATGTCAACTACTCTGCCTCATATTGCTTTATTCAGTTTCATTGATGCTGGGTTGATATGGAAGCTTAGCTCTCTACTGGACCTCACTGACACAGGCTCTGGGAGAAGGGGGATAGAGTGCTAACTAGCCCTGCCTCATTGAGTCTTGGTTTTTCTAGTGGGTGTGGAGGTTAAGCTTTCCAGTGAGCCTTACTGACATCAAGGGTGGTAGGAATTCGAGTCCTTACTAGCCCATAATTTCATTATCTCTTTCTGTCTCAATGATGCCTGGTAGATATAGAGGTTAGATCCCCACTGGGTCCCACTGACACTGAAGACAAAGGTTGAAGACTAACAGTACTTAATGCTGTCTCACTCTACCTTATTGAGCCTTGGTTGCTGCTGGATGGGGATTTTGTCACTGTACTGAGATGACAGTAGCCTGGTAGGAAAATTGAACATTGCCTGCCTCTGCGGGGCATGGAATTGGTAATTATCTCTCCAACCTACCCTGCTGACACTTTCCCAAGCAGAGAAATCAGAACATAGTCTGGTTCCACTCATCAGAGGATCAAAGATCGGCTACCTACTCAGCCTTTTTTATATCATCTGGTAAGGGAATGGAAATGTTGCTTGGTTCTCTGCCTAGTGAAGGATGGAAGACCAGGTGCCTACTCAGTTTTGAAGATACTGTTTAGACCTGGAATGGATCACCTTGAGTGAGTCCTATCTCTTTGGCTACACCGATGCAGAATGGATGTATCATGCTGAGCTGAGGTGGAAGAACTTTAGCCATTTTTAATGAGATTTAGTAGATTTTTGGAATAAATATGCATTTACTGTATTTCCTTAGGATAATTTCCATACACTTTGGTTTTTCTTTATATATTTTATTGATTTTTTTCACAGAGAGGAAGGGAGAGGGATAGAGAGTTAGAAACATCGATGAGGGAGAAACATAGATCAGCTGCCTCCTGCATGCCTCCTACTGAGGATGTGCCCGCAACCAAGGTACATGCCCTTGACCGGAATCGAACCTGGGACCCTTCAGTCCACAGGCCGACGCTCTATCCACTGAGCCAAACCGGTTAGGGCAATTTCCATACACTTTGAATAGTTGTTTTTAAAATAATCTTTACCAGTTATGGTTTTTTGGGGGGAGCAGGCCTGAGAAATTTCTCATGTACTATTTTCTTCACTAAGTCCTCTATGTTATCCATTTAAGATCATTCTTTTTAAAAGTATGATCATACTGCACTCTTTTTTTTTAGTCTGATCATAACTCCTGTGATGACATATCATCAGCTGGACAAGCTGATAAATAAATGGAACCTTGAATTAGAGGATCAAGAGAAGCACTCTCTTCATCAGACCACCCAGGTCAATGCTTGGGACCATACATTGATTGAGAATGGTGAAAAGGTTAGAAGCTATTCTCATTGATCTACCTGCATTAGACAAGTATTTTCAGATGAACACAGGAGAAAAGACCTGTGTTTAGTGGTTCATTTTCTATTCCAATATGTTATCAACTTAAAAACATTTTTCTTAGATAATAAGTGCCCTGAATTAGGAACACTTTCATATTTGAAGCGTATAAATAAAATTAATACTGCTTTAAAATTACAATATAAATTCAAATACTTACATTATCGTATTCTTATTTTCCTTTATAGATTACTGTTTCACATGGAGAAGTGGAAAAAGTGAAATTGGATAGAAAAAGGTAGAATCTTACATTCCCTAGGTTGACAGGTTAAAGATCTATCTTTTTAGTGTTTTATCCTAATTGTAGTTAATTACAACGTATTTTGTCACTCCCAAATTCCTTTCACCAGCCCTTCTGTGACTAATTTTTTTTCCAGGCTAGAAAATGAATCAGATTTTCTCCTGTTGCAGCAGAAGGAAATAGAAGATCCCTGGATCCCTTTAGAGGAGTCTTTGAAGGACCAGAGTAGTTCTGTTTATCAGAAGTATGAAGACGAGGAGCATGAGAGGATGTAAGTAACTGAGTAAAGATAAGGAATGGGGCAGGACTCAGCTACTTAAAAAGAGAAAAATAATTGAAAGGTCAGGAATAAAAATTGGTAGGACAACTTCTTGTGGTTGCCATTTATCAGTTTACTTGACTATTTTGTTGTTGTTGTTATTGACTGTTTAGGATTCTTGAGAATAAATTAATCATTCTGACAATTTTGTTTTACAGCATTTTATAGACTTACTCATTTCAAGCTTGGTGCGTGCTCTCCCTCCTGGTAGCATGCCTGTGTCTTTTCCTTCCCTCTCCTCTTCCTGCACAGGCATGCATCTCCTAAACGCTAAAGGACCCCCCAGGAGACTTGCAATCAGGGGAGCAATGGGCAGCAGCAGCTTGTGCTGGGCTAACCCCCTGAACCTATCTCCAAGGCCCCCTTTTCTCTGACTTTCCAGTGAGCCAAAGCCCTGCCTAGGCTCTCTCCTGTTGCTTCTTCTATCCTAAGCCCTTCCTTGTTTCACTGTCCCCAACTTTAATAAACATATTCTCAAAATTTAAAAATTTCAAGCTTATATATGATCACTGTAAAGTTTTTATATTTGTCAACTTTGTTCTTAAATTTTATGGCTGTGTTGTCATAGTATTGTAGGATATTTATGGTCTGCTATTTATATTGACTTCCTTTTTTACTTTTTAATTGAATTTATTGGGGTGATGTTGGTTAATAAAATGATATAAGTTTCAGGTGTATAATTCCATAATAAATCATCTGTATATTATATTGTCTGTGCACCCCCTCCTTTCATCACCATTTATTCCCCACCCCTTTTCTGCCCCCACCCCCTTTCCTCTGGTTATCTATATTGACTCTTAAAACTAATGTTCATGCAATTACTTCAGTGATAAAGTATTTGCTATTTTAAAGGCAATTTGTTAAACTGGGGGCAAACTGCATAACTTTAAAAATTGAATGGTTTTGTCAATGTCTTGGGCTGAATATATTTTATTTGTCTTGGGCTGGATATATTTCATTTGTGTGCAGTGCAGGCTATGCCTTTGATTGGTATATTTCCAATGTTCCCACAGTAACTTATCCCTCTAGAACTGAGAGAAAATTAAGCCAAATTATATAGTGTTCTTAGGAGAATTTGTATGAATGCTCTATGTAAACTAGATTGAGATTAAACTGGACTTATTTTATCAATGGCTTATTAGTGAGGTAAGACTAAGTTATTTTTAAGAGTTTTGAAATTAATATTTTTGTAGGTTCGTTAAATGTGCAGCTAATCTGTATGGACCCTTATTCTGTTTCTGCTTTTGTATTTCAGTTTTTGTGAATCTTTTGTTGGCGTGTGATTCTACCCATTCTGTCATTTTTCCTTTGAAACATATAGAGTTATATTTTTGGCCAAGAGATCCTAACTATAGTTTGAAGAAATAATTGAAACATTAGTGTTTTTTTTCCAATTGCTTTTATGTAGTTAGATTTATAATTTAATAGAGTCTGTACTAGAATCTTCAACAATCTAGGCAACCAATTACCTATAAGTACTTTGGGACAGAAAGACAGTACATAGTTATCAATAAATCTAATTGATTTTTTTAATCTTTATAAACATTAAGGTTGAAAAGCCCTCAGGTCACTTTCATTCTCATAAACATGTTGACTAAGTTGTGTGTGTGTGTGTGTGTGTGTGTGTGTGTAAATAGTTTGGATGGAAATCTTAAAAATAGTCAACTAATTAATTTTTTGTGAACTTAGCAAATTTATCTTCCTTTGATTATTGTATTATTTCTCAAAACATCTTTTGTTGGATGATGGAGCATCCTATATAATAAAAGGGTAATATGCAAATGGACCCTAAAGGCAGAACTACCAGGAACCGACTGGTTGCTAATGAGATGCACTGACCACCAGGGGCAGATGCTCAATGCAGGAGCTGCTGCCCCCTGGTGGCCAGTGCACTTCCACATGGGGAGCTCCACTCAGCCACAAGCCAGGCTGATGCCTGTGAGTACAACTTCAGTGGTGGGAGCCTCTCCCATCTTGGTGGCAGTGCTAAGATGTCTGATTGCAGCTTAGGCCCGCTCCTCATGCTGTCATTCAGACGTCCCTCAAGGGCTCCTGGGCTGCCAGAGGGATGTCTGACTGCCAGCTTAAGCCAGATCCCCCGGGGAGTGGGCCTAAGCTGGCAGGTTGACATCCCCTAAGGGGTCCCCAACTGCGAGAGGGCACAGGCTAGGCTGAGGGACCACGCCGCCCCCCACCACCCAGTGCATGAATTTTCATGCACCAGGCCTCTAGTATTTATATAAGGTTTTACTTTGAAAATTTATGTATTCAAAGTCATTGAAGTCATGTCTGCACTTACTGAATACTACTAAACACTGAATAACTCTTAATATGTCCTATGGGTTTATTTTGTCACCCAAAAGAATTCCTTTGTTTCAGGGCTCTTTTGCTTCAGAACATTAGCAAGAGGGTGAATATGTGACTGTAAAAATGGCAAGGTGGGTAAAAGCCTTCACCTATGGAGTCTTTTTAGAATACTAGAGACTGGTGCACGAGATTTGTGCACTCAGGAGGTGGGGGGTCCTTCAACCCCGTCTGTGTCCTCTTGCAGTCCAGGAGCCCTCAGGGGATGTCCGACCAACTGAGGGAGCGGGCTTAGGCTGGCAGTTGTATATCCTTAGGGCTGCCGTGGAGGTGGGAGGGGCTCTCGCCACTGCTGCTGTGCTCGCCACCCGTGAGCCCAGCTTCTGACTGAACGGCGCTCTCCCTGTGCGAGTACACTGACCACCAGAGAGCAGCTCCTGCATTGAATGTCTGCCCCCTGGTGGTCAGTGCTCATCATAGCGACTGGTAGTTCTGCCGTTTGGTCGATTTGCATATTAGCCTTTTATTATATAGGATGGCAATAATAAGGTCATGAATACTGCATTCATAAAAATGCGCCATTAGTCATAACTGAGACCCACTGAGAAGGTAGGGAAAATGGGGCAAATCCAGTTGGCAGTATCATTGTTGTATGTTAGTAGTGATACATAAGTGGAGAAAATATTTGTTGCTTGTTAATCCCTTTACTTTACTTACTTTTTTAGTTACAAATTAGCAGAAAATATAGATGTTCAGTTGAAACAAATGGCACAGGATCTCAAGAACATTATTGAACACCTGAATATATTTGAAAAACCTGCTGACACTATTGACCTGGTATGTTAACTGCTTTATCTACTTAGACAACCAAGATTTAGTATGACATTAGCATTCTATGCTTCCTTTAACTAGTCACCTTCTCCTGTCCTCTCTAGTTCTCCATATCTGCCTCTAGAGATATGAAGCTCTTGGTTATAGTTAATGGGACAGGAAATATTTAAGGGCAGATAAGGTTGAGAGTTCTTTGTGATTAACCCAGGAGAGTAAAAAAATGACTTACCTCCCTAAATTTTCAGGGTTTTCTTCCTGTTCTTCACATAACTAAATCTGTCCCTGTACTTATTTTCCTGTTCACTTACTCATTAGCTAATTCATTCTTTCTTTTATATATTTATCTACATATTCATATAAACGTGAGACTAGATGTTTGAATCTGTTAAATCTATCCAAGTAATCTTATAATTAGGTTATATCTTAAAAGTTTGATAAGTAAACTATGTGAAACTTAAAATATGTTTTTTCCATAGAAACTTTGTTAAATATGGTCATTAGGTTTCCACCAGTCTCTACTTAACTCATAATATAAATGCATTATAGCCTGGAAAAATACAGTCAAAGCTCCATTTAAATAGTTGAGAAGTTTTGAATTAATTTGGCAGTAAAAAATGATTATTTCCCCTTTATCTATAATCTACATAAAGAGTTTATTTCCTCTACCTTTCTCTGTTGTCTTAGCAGCTAAATGGAGCCCTTCTTTTAACTCGATGCCACCCCATGGCAGTAATGGTAAGAGGAATCACCCATTGTGAGAGCTCCCATTGTACTTTCTATCAGTTGATTATAATTAGAGTGAAGCCAGGATTTGGGTAAATGAGGATGAATGACATAATACATGTGTAGTAATTATTTCTTTAGTAAGCTCTTTGTCCAATTATATACAGACACTTCTTTATCTACAAACATATTACTAGCTTTTTTAATTATGAAGAGATAGCATGGTGTATTGAAAAAGCACAAGAATTTCATTTAAGTCACTTAATCTCTCTGGGTCTTAGGTCTTTTGCAAAATGTCAAGGGTGGACAAAATAATCTTATAATAAAAATTATGCCATTCTTTACTTTAGTTGAATCTAAAGTTGAACAATGGCAAATAAAAATTAGTCTGGTATTATCCATACTACCATCTCCCTGAGTCCATGCAGATCATCAAGAGTTGACATAACATAGGTTTTCTTTTTAATGAAATATTAGATCACTATTGTGATTCCAAAATTCAGAATTGTTCTGCTGTAATAGAATTTTAATACACAGATAAGTATATGCAGATTTAGGCATGAAATAGAGCTGATACATAGTCTCTGTGTTAAATTAATGTGTTCTAATAGATTAAGTAAAAGGAAACTGCAATCCTACCGTTATCCTTTTTCTCTACTTAGCCTTGGATTAGTTTAGTTTAGTTTAGTTTAGTTTAGTTTAGTAGTGGGGAGTAAATGGTTTGAGTCTTTTGTTTTTCCTAGCCATGGAGATTGAGATATTTACAATGAGAGAATTAAAGGATAATTGCTGCTTGATAACAGGACAAAAGAAGTGAAAAATTAGCAATAATTCATTTCTTTTCTCAGATAGCATAAATTTTTAGACAGTAAGCAGAGAACACATTTGTTGAACAATAATATTTTGTAAATAATTTATTCTGACCAGCTCAACCTATGGGCCATACACTAGGGTAGAAAAATAGCAACTTAAATCACAGTGATGAGATTTACCTCTTGATTTTGACTTTTCTTAGGGGGAGATGGGAGAGACCTCCTAATAGCTAAAATTTTTATTAAGCAAGTCCATATTATAGTGTATGATATTCGGTCACATTCACTTACAAAAACTCATTGCTCCTACTACAAATTATATTTGTTTGTTATACTAGAATACTCTAATTTGCTGTTGTCATTACATATACTGGTCTTTTAAGTGTGGAAACATTTTCATTTCCTCCTATTTTTAATATTATCCTGGACATTGCTAGAAAATTCATCAAAAGTATTCTAAATTTTTTTATTTTTTTAATATATTTTTATTGATTTCAGAGTGGAAGGGAGAGGGAGAGAGGTAGAAACGTCAATGATTAGAGAGAATCACTGACTGGCTGCTTCCTGCACGCCCCACACTGGGGACTGAGCCCGCAACCCGGGCATGTGCCCTTTGCTGGAATTGAACCTGGGAGACCCTTCAGTCTGCAGGCCGACGCTCTATCCATTGAGCAAAACCAGCTGGGGCTAAAATTTTTTAAATGTTTAGTATTTTTATTACAAAGTTAATATACATACTTGTTTAATGTATTAAGCTTAGAAAATATGGAAATCTGTAAAGAAAATTAAATCACCTGTATTACCAGTACTCTGCTAATATATTGGTTTATTTCTTTCAAGTCTTTTTACTATGCTGATTAAAAAAATACTTTTGTTTTGAACAGCTTTGGAAACATACCTATATAAAATTTTGTATTCTGCCTTCATTTAATATTCTTTCATGGTGTTTTCCCAAAATTATAACCATTCTTTGAAAACATTTTTTTTATTATTTTATAGTTGTTTCAGGTGTATAGTATAGTGGCCATCCAATTATATAATTTACGCAGTGATCCCCCTGATAATTCTAGTACCCATGTGGCACCATACATAGTTATTACAATATTATTGACTGTATTCCTTATGCTGTACTTTATACTCTGGTGACTATTTTGTAACTTCTTATTCCCTTCACCTTTTATCCATACCCCCACCCTCCTTCCATCTGACAACACTCAGTTTGTTCACTGTAGCTATGAGTCTATTTCTGTTTTGGAAAACATGTTTTTTAAAAAAGTTTTAATATATTTTTTATTGATTTCAGAGAGAGGAAAGGAGTGGGAGAGAGAGATAGAAACATCAATGATGACACTCATCAATCAGCTCCCTCTTACATGTCCCCTCCCGGGGACCAAGCCCACAGCCTGGGCATGCGCCCTGAAGGGGAATTGGACTGTGATCTCCTGGTTCATGGGTCGACACTCAGTCACTGACCCTCACAGGCCAGGAGGAACAATTGGTTTTAATGACTCTATAATTTTAATCAGAGGTAACTTTATCATAATATAATCTTTTTTACTGATAGAGATACTGTTTCCAGTTTTTTGTCATTACAAAATTGCCCTGGATAGATTCCTAGAAGTAGAACATACTGAGTTAAAAAGTATGAATATTTTAGCCCATCCAGTGTGACTCAGTGGTCGAGCATCAGCCCATGAACCAGAAAGTCATGATTTGATTCCAGGCAGTGCACATGACCCAGTTGCAGGTTCAATCCCTGGTAGGGGGCATGCAGGAGGTAACCAACTGATGTTTCACATCAATGTTGATGTTTCTATCTCTCTATCCCTCTCCCTTCCTCTCTCTAAAATCAATAAGAAAATATATTTTTTTAAAAGTATGAATATTTTAAGATGATATATATTATAAAATTTTACATTTTGAAGGGCTGGATCAAATTATATTTCTATTGGTTGTATATGAATGTACCTGTTTTCCCCACACACACTTGACAATTGAATATTACATTTATTTAAAATTGCTGATTTAGAAATCATGCCATTTGTGATAACATATGCTAAATGAAATAAGTCAGACAGAGAAAGACAGACACTGTATGATCTTGCTTATATGTAGAATTTAAAAACAAAACAAGCCAAGCTAATACAGAGAACAGATTGGTTGTCAGAGGCGGGGAAGGGCAAAATGGGTGAAGGGGTATACAAAAGTAACAAACTTCTAGTTATAAAATAATTAAGTTATGGTTATGTAATATACAGCATAATGACTATATTAATACTACTATATTTCATATTTGAAAATTGCTAAGATTGTAGAACTTATACAAAAAAACTTTTGTGTAACTATGTATGGTGACAGATGTTAACTAGACTTATTGTGGTGATTATTTCACAATATATACAGATATAGAATATGTTGCATACCTGAATCTCATACAATGTTATATCTGAGTTATACCTCAATAAAAATGCTGATATGGATGAATAAAGGCAATATTTTAAATTTTTAAATGAATTTCTTATCTTCTGAAATGTCTCTTAATGTTCTTTACTTATGTTTGTACTGTAGTAGTAAGTTTCTTATTGAATTCTAAGAATCAATCAGATTTGTGATATTTGCAAAGTAATTAGATTAATATATAGATGTAATGAACATTACAAATATGAAATAGCAAAAGAAGCTGTTAATGTTTAATCATTCTCAGTCCATTTCTTATCAGAAGAAATTAAAGTCACTTTCTAGTTTCAAAATTTTGTTTACTTTTTGTTTACCATATCAGAAATTATAATCTAAATATCTTGTGTTTGTTTTTAGCTCAAACAGATCAGCAGAATTCTGAATGCTCATATGAACTCTCTAGAGTGGATTAGTCAGAATCCAGGTGGGAGTTTATTTGATTTCCAAGCTATGTGTATTGCAAATAGAAAATGTGATACAAGTTAGGTTTTGTGTACCATAAACTTACTCAAATAACAATTCACTTATAAGGGTATTGCTTAACTCATGGTATGTCTACATTAGTTCTAAAGAACTATAATTGCTTATTTTTATAAAATGAAACAATGATAAGGTAGGAACTAATGAAATAGGGGATGTATAGAAATGTGGTGGGAGAGAGAGGGATAGAAGTAGGACTTCTCTGCGTATACTTTTTAATACAGTTTTGACATTTGGGCTATATAAAAGTTTAAATGCTCAAACATTATAATTAAGCAAAAAATAATGGGAAGAAAAACAAATGTTAAAAATGGATACCAACTGAAATCAAACAAAAATGTATCACTAATTTATAACATGCAGTTCAGATAAATTTTGAACATAGTGTCCCTGATGGTGCATCCTTACTAGGATATAATCTTAAGGATAAAATGAACTGCAAAGAAATCTTAAATGTTCTTAATAGGTTTATTGTAGATTTCAGAATTATAACATATACATACATTATAATATTAGTATTATTTTATATATTTTAGGATAAAGCAAATGCGTAAGTATATCAGTGATGATAGAAACCAAGATTTTCATTTAAAAATAAAAGCTATATAAAATATTTTCCTTTTATATTTGTATTTTAAATTTCTATTGCAGTATGAATTCCTATTCCCTTGTTCTGTACATGGAAAAGACCAAGAAGCAATAACAGATACCCTGGTAGCCATGAGTATATGCAGCACCTGAATCTTGGTTTCTAAATGCCATTCCCATTAAAAGGAATTAAGGCTTCTTGGGGGAAATATTTGATTTCAGGTCTCAGAAATATTTGATCCCAGAAAACAAAGATTATTCAAAGACTAAAGAGGTTATATCCAGACCCAAGATTGTGTTGAGGGGCAATGCTAAAATGTAATTCGTGCTGTAAAGAAACGTTATAGTGATTTTTTTTCCCCCTTGGCTGGGATCCTCTTTGTCTTAATGAAATCTCAAGGCTCTCAAGCAGTGTTTTCTTAATAATAAAATTAAGATTGTTAGCTCTGCAAAGAGCTTATTTTCTATAAATTAAAAAACTGTATCCCAAAGAGGTTAAATGACTTTTCTAAGAACACACAACTAATTAGTGGCAGAGCTAGGACAAGAATCAAAATTTCCTAATTACTAGAACAGCATTCTTTCTACTGGTATGTTCTTAAAATAATTCTATTGTGGGTATCACTGGCTATAAAAATGAATTTTAACCATGTAGCTAACAGTAGAGGATGAGGGTATGATAATGGTAGTGCATTGGGTGGGATATAAGTTCAGGTTCTCAGTCAACACAGGGTAAAAAGAATAAGACAGAGTAATTACTGAGAGTTGCTTTTATCCTAAAAATTCAATTGAGTTGGAGAGGCAGAGAGATCTCTTATAGAGTCTCAACTGAGACATATAGGCCATGCTTAAGAATGGGAAAAGGCCTGGTTATTCTTGATACTGTGGGCTCATTTTTGCTGTTCTAACACAGGGAACCTTTCCCTTTCATATCGGGAAATGACATGAGCAAGTAATGGAGAATGGCAGTGTTTAATTATGCTGTTTAAGAATGGTATGTGTTTTTTGGGGGGTTGGTGGTTGTTTATTTTGCTTTTTAACAGTTAATGGGATCAAGTCTGCTGAAATGCTATAGGCTGAGAAGTGTTAAGGTTAAATTTCTCAATCAGTCAATTTATTTACATCCAAATAATAGTTATAGAAAGGTTGATACATGTATTACTTTAACAATAGAAATATTTTTTACTAAAGAGAAATCTCTAACTTGTATATGTTTTTAAAAGATTTTAAAGTTGAAATCTGTTTTTTTTAATCTTCACCCAAGAATATTTTTCCATTGATTTTTAGAGAGAGTGGAAGAGAGAAGGAAAGACAGAGAAAAACATCTATGTGAGAGAAACACATGATTGGTTGCCTCCTTCACACGCCCTGACCAGGTCCTGGGCCGGGGATTGAGCCTGCAACCAAGGTACTTGCCCTTGACCGAAATCGAACCCGGGACCCTTCAGTTGGCAGGCTGATGCTCTATCCACTGAACCAAACCGGCTAGGGCTTGAAATCTGTATTTTAAAAGGTTTCTGAGTAATGTTTTTATGATTTAATATATTTGACATTCATACAGTTTATAAAACATAACAACTGTTATGCCAATAGGATCATGCATTTAACTAAAAAAATCAATAGATCTTTAAAAGTGACTTGGAAATCATACATTATACTTTAAATGTTAAAATATTACTGTCCAATCAACTTCTCAATATCCATGAGTAAGTTATAGAGAAGCAGGCCCCTTTCTTCCTCTAACCCAGCGGTTCTCAACCTGTGGGTCGCGAACCCTTTGGCGGTCGAATGACCCTTTCACAGGGATCGCCTAAGACCATCCTGCATATCAGATATTTACATTACAATTCATAACAGTAGCAACATTACAGTTATGAAGTAGCAATGAAAATAATTTTATGGTTGGGTCACAACATGAGGAACTGTATTTAAAGGGCCAGAAGGTTGAGAACCACTGCATAGAACTGACTGTGATGGGACTGATCTAGAAAGGGATTAGATGAGTATTAAATTAGGAAGTATCTGAACATGTGCCAGTATTGACCAGTTTTCAAATTTTATATTTATCCATCGTTTAACATTGTGTATGCTCCTTTTTCTCCTGATTAGTATGGACAATTGAGAATTAATAGTAATTCTAGTCAAATACCAGAGTTCTCTCTCTTGTCTTTCTCTTTGTAAAAATTTGCAGCATTATTTCCAGATTGGTTTGATGGCAGTGCTGCAGTCACATATCTGTCTTCTGAGTTGGCAGTCACTGAACTGCAGCAACTCTAGCTCTTCTGGGACTACTTATGATAGAGTTGGCAATTGATTTAAACCAATTTTGTTACTCATTTTAAATATATGGAGCTACTTCTTTTAGAGGGGGAGGAGAGGGTGAAAGATAAGCATTTTTTGTTTTATTTCATATACCAAACCATTGTTGTATCCATTAATATTTACCAAACATCACAATAAAGTGATGGGCAGTAGAAAATCTTATACTTGCCATTATCTGAAAGATCCTTTAGTATTTTTATGGCATTTTGCTTCTTTCATGAAGTGTCCCAAAGCGTCACAACTAAAGTATATTTCATCCATGATCATTGCAGTTTTTAATGGGTTAGAACACCATAATTACTTAATAGCTGCTCACTACATTTCAACTGCTATTCAGGGCAGAAAAGAATCCTTAGAGTAACTAAAATTCCATAAGGAATTTTGTGATATTTACAAAATATAGTTTCATTAGTACTGGTCTATGAACACATTATTATTAATACTATTTGATGTAGGACATTCTTAGTGATCCAGTATGATCTAACTAACTCTTGGATAAAATGTCTCCAGGACTGGTTTAGAGAAGCAACTTTTTGTGTATGTCGTAATCATACTTCATTTTTACCCAATGTCGTCAGTATTTGTTGTTTAAGGTAATGATTTTAAATTCGATTTTTCAGGATTGGGTATTTTTACTTTTCTTTTTAATTAAGGCACATTTCACATATAACATTATATTAGTTTCAGGTATACAACACAATCATTGAATATTTGTATATATTGCCAAATGGTCACCACAATAAGTCTGGTTGACATCTGTCACCTTATACAGCTACAAATTTTTTCATGTGATGAGAACTTTTAAGTTCTACTCTCTTAGCTATTTTTAACACACATTACAGTATTATCCTATACAGACAATCCTCGGGTTATTATGGACTCTACATACGTCATTTCATGGTTGCATTGCCATTTCCCATTTATTTATAAAAAAAAATGTTCCGTCATTTCAACATATGTACATGTGTGCTTTATGTTTTCTATTATTTATTTACCACAAGTAAAGGTCAGGAATTGTTATCTTTCTTTTAAAGGTTTTTTTACTGTTTCACTTCATTACTGCTGTGTATGTGCTCCATGTGAGTGACATAGGAGCTTATGTAGGTGGGTTCCAGCTTATGGCGAAAATCGTGTTACGTTGCGCCGTAGGAATGGATCTCCAACGTAACCCAACGACCTACTTTATAATAAAAGGCTAATATGCAAATCAACTAACAGCAGAACGACCAGTCGCTATGTGCACACTGACCACCAGGGGGCAGATGCTCAACGCAGGAGAAACGCTGAAAGGTGGAATAACTGGTTGCTATGACACACACTGACCAACAGGGGACAGACGCTCAATGCAGGAGCTGCTTCCTGGTGGTCAGTGCACTCCCACAGTGGGAGCACCGCTCTGCCAGAAGCCTCTCTCTCACCTCCATGGCAGCGCTAAGGATGTCCGACTGACGGCTTAGGGAGCAGGCCTAAGCCGTCAGTCTGACATCCCCCAAGGGCTCCCAGACTGATATAGGGCACAGGCCAGGCTGAGGGACCCCCTCCAAGTGCACTAATTTCTTGCATTGGGCCTCTAGTTAACTATAGTCTCCATGCTGTATTTTATTTAAGTAGCTGTGGCCCAGATAAGAAATGCTTTAAAATATTTTATTAATTACATTAGTGACCCAGTGCATGGATTCGTGCACAGTAAAAGGAAATTAATTAGAAGGTGGCCAGTGGGGAGGGACTGGGAGAGACAGACTGGACACGCCCTGGAGCCAACCTCCGCGGTCCCTCCCTGGCCAGCTGTACCTGGGGTGGTGCCGTGGCTCGAAGGGCATCCGCAGAGTGAGCAGGGTCGCTCTGGCAGATGGGGTCCCTCGGCCTGGACTGCGGGGATTGGGCTGAAACCAGCTCTCTGAGTGCAAGAGGCCACTCTGCAAAGTTGCTTTCGTACAGGGTGTGGAAGTGCAAGAGGCCACTCTGCAAAGTTGCTTTCGTACAGGGTGTGGAAGGCAAACTCAGGTGTGGAGTAAACCAGATTTGGGTCTGACAGT